TTCCCAGCGCTCCCGGACAGCCCCTCCAACCGCGGAATCGACATCTGCGGGCCCTTGGTCTGTGACCCCTTTCCTCGCCCTTAACAGGAACAAAAGCACTAATTAAGCTCGAAACCGTCACACCTTCAACACACAGGACTGATTTTGGAGGTGGGGGGATGTCTGGAGGCCACGCAAGGACCCAGCATCGAAGAGCCTAGAAAGGTTTCCTTCTTTGTTAAGAGTTACATTTTAACACACGATTTTGCGGGGTGTGGTGAGGATAGAGTAGGACTTGGTCTTTTTATTTCATCCACCCCCACCCCCTTCCAGTATTTACAACTCCAGAACTTTTCAGGCCAGCCGTACAACTACCCTCCCACCGCGCTCTATTAATTTTATCCAAGCCAGTCATCTGCTAAGGAGTTGCAGTAGGCTGTGGGCTTGAACTCCGTACGGGTCACCCTGCCCACATCAGACCATCACGGGTCCGTGGTAACTTCGTTTCATTTTTTAGAGCCCTTGGGTGTGCAAAGGAAGCGGTGCGGAGCTCGTGCCACCGGGGCGGATTTGGCACCAGGTTGCTTTCTGTGGCTTTAACTTGGAATGGAAAAGCTTTGTCCACCTTTTGCGATGTCTGAGAGTTCTGCTGTTTTTCTAGAAGATAGAACCTGTGCTTAGCACGCCCTGGTGGTACCATTTACTTAGTTCCCAAGAACCGGGACAGCGGAAAGTCACGCTTGATTAGATATTATTGCGTTTGTAGATGTGTAGCTGCTGGAAAAATGAAGACAATAACGGGGAGCTATTTTCTATCATTTTGGTGAAAGGGATACTTTTTTCTTCTAGCATCGAAAGCTTCCAAAATCATATGGCGAATGATAACAATTTTTTTTTGAACTGTGTGTTAACATAGCTCACTCATCTTCAAGTACTTTTCATATACTTTTTTTGAGCCAAGTGGTCTTTGAAGTATCTAGACCTGATTTTGTAGTTATAATGATTTTTAATGTTCATAATCATGATCTTGAATTGGACCACATACATCTTGAAATGCTCTGAAATATTTGAGAAATTGCAATTATGCAGGACCAGCAGTTAGCATAATGGCTATGTCGCTGGACTCCTGTGTAGTTGACTTTAACCATGTGGTTCAAGTCCGGGACCTGGTGGTTTAAACTCACGCCCAGCGTGTGTGTGTGTGTGTGTGTGTGTGTGTCCAAGATCCTGAGAGGAGAATGGATGAGAAGGGATTGCAGCGTGGCCATACCTCCTGGGGAGTGATTTCTGCTTTCTGTCTCTCCGTCTCAAAGGCGAATGCACACGCCCTATAGAAAAACCTCTCAAAAAAAAAAAGAAATTGCAATTATGGTCAGTATAGTGTTAATTTCATTTATTGAAGAGTTTACTTGGAAATTAGATTCTAAGAATTTGTCTTAAATTAATATTCAGTTACTCACTGAATTTTAGTCAATTCTAAAACTAGTAAGCATGGAAATGAAATATTTTCTGGCTCATTTCCATCAAGGCAGTTACTTAGTACACATTGGGCTGTAGGAAGAAATAGATTCAGATTAAAATTAAAATTTTAAATTTAGAGACTTCATGTAAAATGTGAAATCTGAGAATTAAAAAAAATAGGCTGGACTTAATTGTGGAATAACTTTTTTTGAGTTTTTTAAAATGAGAAAATGAGTTTTTAATGAGAATAAATTTAAATTAAATTGTCTATTAATGGTGGTCTAATCGACACAGAATTATTTCCATTTGAAAACTCAGTCCTTTTTAAAAACAACAGAAGTGTAAAATTTGGCTTTTGTTTCCAGCCAAGTTCATATGAAAAAATGATGACATCACCTGAGACTAGAAAAGTCTGACTAGTTATTCTTAGTAGTATTTGACATATGAAATGTCTATATTTGGAAATAAGGTGGTAATGCTCTCCTCATCCAGGATTTTTGTTTTGTTTTGTTTGTTTTTTTACCTTTTTTTTGCAAGGTTTTTTGCTATAGGGTGCATGCACTCGCCAGAAAGACAAGAAAGAGACAGAAAGCCAGAAATCCCCCCCCAGGGGGGATGGCCATGCGGCAATCCCTTCTCCTCCATTCTCCGCTCGGGATCTTGGGCAGGCATGCACATGCGCCCGGCGTAAGTTTAAGCCACCGGGTCCGGGACACGAACCGCGGTCGACTACGTAGGAGTCCAGCGACATAGCCATTACACTAACTGCTGGTCCCCAGGATGTTTTTTAACAAAATATTTTAAAGTGAATGTCTTTATTCTTACCTTAACTTTTTTCCTCTGTAAGTCGTAACCTGTAAGTGTGTGTGTGTGTGTGTGTGTGTGTGTGTGTGTGTGTGTGTTAAGTAGTCTTTCCTCACACTTTGAAAACAGATGTACACAAGGTTAAGAGAAATACTTCTGGAGATGCATAATTTGTCACTAGGGTTGGTTTATTGGCTCTTGTGGGTTACAGATTGAAATATTTTTATCAGTGTTAATTTTGACGTTTTGTTTTGCTTTCCCTTCCAGAATTTGAAGTTGAGTGTGCCACTCAGCTCAGGAGAATTGGAGACAAATTGAGTTTCCGGCAGAAACTTCTGAATCTGATATCTAAACTCTTCCACTCAGGAACCTGACTACTTCTAAAGCTTTTGCTTGAGGAGACTGGAAGCTGAAAGTTTCCCTAGTAGGTGCCAAATTCATCCATTAGAAGGGCCTCCGATGTGATTGGGGAGAAGCTTCACTGTGGCTTTGGGACTCTGGGGAACAAAGATGGAGCACATCGAGCATGGCTTTCTGCTGGAGGTGTCTCAGAAGTCATTCTTTGGGACCTGACAACAGTATAAGGCCACTTTGTTTATTTTAAAGCAAGAATGGAAGAACCTTGAAAATGGGGAAGTGATTTTGAATACATTTCTTTTTCATTTAGAGAATTGTTCTAGCATTTCTGCTGAACGTTGCTGCCTAGCCTACTCTAAAGGGAGTTGAGAATGAGGCAGGGTGAGGGGGAGAAAACAGTTTAGTATTTGTTTTTGCTTTTTAATGGCAACTCTAGAGCAATGTATATTTGGCTTATTGTCTTGTTAAAAGGGAGAATTTCATTCCAAGAACACTGAATGTCATAGTCAATGTTGATTTCGTAGGTCACTACCAAATGTAAAAGAACTTGATAATTTGTTTCTTTTGACTCAAATTGTATTGCTTGTGTTCATTATTTGTGTTCCTGTGGGCATTCGCTGGAAAGTATAGAAAACTGGGAAGTAACTTGGAAAAAACTTGATACAAGTATGGAAAGGGTTACTTGGTGCCAGTAAAACTCTTTGATACTGAATATGAAGAGATGAAGAGCATGAGGATTTTTTTATAGCTAGGAATAATAGTAATAGTAGTAAAAGGACTTGACCTTTTTAATTGCTGTAACTAAGTAAAACAGATGCTCAAAAGTAAGTTGATAAGATAAGGATAAGATGTTTTTTAAAAAGTTTCTGAAAATGTGTAAAATGCTGTTTCTCACACTAGCCAGTATGTATCTTATAAAAAGTGATCTTAAAGAGATGAAAGATGTTGGTAGGCCAGCTAGTGGTACGGTGATGGCTAAGCTGGCTGCATCCCTTATGCTGACTGTTCTGTTCAGGTCCCAACCCAGTGGCTTGAAAAACAGGTTGGGCACTTGTGCCTGCAGACGCAGAATCCCGAATCGAGGGAGAAATGGAGGAGAAAGGGATTGTGGGTGATCATTCCCCCTACTTTCTCTTCCTGGACAGCACACGCCTCCTATAGCCAATTAAATAAGTGACTTCCCCAAATCTGCATACGCTTTTCTTATTTTTTTAAAATAAGGAACAAATATTTCTCATCCAGAATGGGCATCCCATATATATAACCATGAATTAACCTGTATCCACACCCATAACATATAAATACACAAGTGGGTATCTGATAGGTAATTTGCATTAAAGTATGTAGATTCTTAAACAGGTTTCCTTTTTTGTAATTTGAGCTAAAAATGAAGCCTCTAAATACAGTAAGAAATATGTCATGATTGAATTTTAACAGGAATAATTTTATTTATTTTATCTATTTATAATTAAAATGTTTTTTGTTGAGTTTGAAAATGCGTTTTTGAGTTAAAGGGACAAGGATTTTGTAACTACTTGAATTCTTATAGTAAGAATGTCTTAATACAGGTTCTAGTCACTTTAGATGAAAAATTACCTCACATCTGTTTTTCTTCAGTGTTACTTAAGGCTGTTTATTTAGCTGAAAGATTTTTTTTTTCCTGCCTAGAGGCAGATACTTTGCCAGATTGGTATTTATGGTCTGTAACTATTTAAATGTGTATGTACATATAAACATTGATACTGTGGCAATAAACTATTAAAAATGATCCTTTTTTCTGTGTGTGTGTGTGTGTGTGTGTGTGTGTGTTTTGGTTATATAAGCTATTAAGTGTTCTTTATCAAGCAAAAATATTTTAACTGATTTACATAAGCAGGCTTCTTTCAACTGGATATCTTCTCCATTCCAGTTCTGTGAAAGGAGTGGAAAAATACAGGCACACACGGTTTGATTTCTAATGTCAAGGGACTTAAACTTCGATGGGGAGGAGAAATAGTGAAAAAGAGGAAATTAATTCTGTGCATAGGTCTTGAGAGCTGCTGAGTGCATCTCTCACACACACGCCCTGGGAGTGATTTATTAAAAGTAGCCTGTAGAGATTCATGGTCTAATAACAAAAGCTCCAGAGAGCCAGTGTCCTTGGCTGCTCCTGGGTTTGTCTGCCAGGCAGGAGCTGCCTCACCGTTTCTTCTAGGTGACCCACTTCCTCTGCTCCCAGCCCCAGAGCAGCAAGGATTGCTTCATCTGAGATAGTCATGTGCAGAAGTGGGCATGACTCTATGACCTTCCTGTTTAAGTGTGAGAACTAAAACAGTACCCCTCGTTTGTAGCTTCGATCCTGGAGCCACATCTTCACCCCACCCTGCTCTCTAAGAGTCTGCTGATGTCATGAAATGTAAATTGTTTCCCTTGAATGGGCCAGGGGAGGGTAGGAGGGAGGAAGAAGTACTGCAGGAAGAGGTGAGCCAGACAGTGGAGGGGTGGAGAGCTAAGGCAGGATAGCAGCAGCTGCCAGCACGTAGGTGAATGGTAGGTGAATGACTATTGGAGGCTGTTCTGAGAAAGGGTGGGGTCAGTGTATAATTCTATTCAAGGGTCATTGGAACATAGCCCGGGTTCCTAAGCCTCTTGTCTAACCAAATTGTTTTGCTAACAGTATCCCATATGCTCCTCTCCTGTAAGAAGGAACACAGAAAGGCTTAGACCTAGATTCATATTCTCCAGATAATGTAGATTCATATTTTCCAACATAATTGTATCTGTTGACTGACACAACACTAGCATTTATATTTGGATTTATATTGGGTCGTCAGAAAAGTCACAAAACATTTTTTTTGACATAGAAAAGTATCTTACAGTATTTTCCTCGCTGGGTGCTTGAGAATATACTGCCATCATGCACACATGTAAGACTAGCAAAGATGTTCAAGACCACACCAGAGGTCATCTTTGTGTTTGGGTTCAGAACCCATTTTGGTGGTGGCAAGACAACTGGCTTTGGCATGATTTATGATTCTTTGGATTATGTGAAGAAAGATGAACCCAAACATAGACTTGTAAGATGTGGCCTCTATGAGAAGAAAAAGATGTCAAGAAAATGAGGAAAGGGACGCAAGAACAGAATGAAGAAAGGGGGACTGCAAAGGTCACTGTTGGTGCTAGCAAAAAGTGAGCTGGAGATTGAAGAACAGACGGAGGAATAAAGATTCTGTGATGACTATCTGCAGTGATTGTGCAGATTTTTCATGAGAGGATTAATAAACTCAAAAATTTTCACGTAAAGAAAAATACCTTATGACTTCTGACAATGAGTCGTTATGATGTTTAAAAGACCCTCGTTGTATAACACAGTGTAATTACCATACTGTATGCATGCTTTGAGAGAAATGCTATACCTCACAAAAATAATGTAAAAAATAAAAGCTCAACAGTCTATATTTGAAAACTATTTCCCCGTCTATCCTTTATCCATCCATTCATAAATGAGATAAGTTGCTTTAAACAAGCCTTCATGTTATGATTTGGGTTTTAGAATCTTCTGCAATAACTCTGCGGACCCCTCCCTGCCCTGCTTCTTCTCCCAACCCCCAAACTTTGGTCAGAAGGGAGGATCCATGAGGGAGATAATTGACACCTAGAAACAGAGCGGTGACTGGAAGTGATGTGACGGAAAGAGCAGTCTACGCTGGGATCTAGAAGTCATCCTCTCAAGACCAAACCCTTACTTAAGGAGCTGTGTGATCTTAGGTGATGCAACCTTTCTGAGCCAGGGTAGTTTTGAAATCAGGAAACCCAGGTCAGCTGTGTAGTTTGACTCAGAAAATGAGAGGATGGGGGTCTGCAGAAAGCCCTCACCACAGTTCTAGGCCTGCTAGCCTCTACTCTGACCTCATTTCAGACAGGAAGAAGAGGAAACCGAAGGATTTGTAGAAGGAAGCAAACAAAGTCAGATCTAAAAAGCAAAAAAGCACATCCCCCCCACCTTTATTTTCAGAATTCTTCTCTCAGACATTGATTCTAAATTCTAAATCTTACAGGAGACCGGGTAGGAACTTCCTGGACCTGTAAACATTTTCTTGGAAATGAGAATTCCCCGGGCGCATAGGATTCCTCTACTGTGGTGCACTGTGGAGTCACTGCTTACATGTAGCTGAAAATAGACCGAGTCACCTGACAGGCACACCCTACCAAGTAATCAGTCGAATATTCTCAAGTAATAGGTCACGGTTACAGAGTGAGACCTTTGTCAATAACGTGATGCAGACATTAACTTTATCTCCTCTTTTAAGAACTTTGGGAAATCAGTTTAGCCAATTTAGAGGGAAACAAACTTACCTGCAATTGCTTCCTTTACGGTCTTTCCTTAAGTCACTTCCCAAACACCAGAGAAATGGAAGATTTGATAAGAAGGATAGAAAGGATTTCCAATTCCATCACTTAGCAGGTTATTGTTTTGTTACTCTATTTATTTTATTTGTAATAGAGAGGATGTGTGTACATGATTGAAAAAGAGAAAAAGAGAGAAAGGCACAGAATTCTTTTTGTCAGAGTCTGGTCATGTTGTGATCCTCTTTGCTTAGTCCTCCAACTCTTCGGATTCTGGACATTTGTGCCCATTCTGTTCCTGTCTTCAAACGGACCAGGGGATCCAAACCCATGGTTGCCCATGTGGCTTCCAGCCCTGCACGTTAGTCTGCCACCAGGCCGGGCCCACTGCATAAGCTATGAATCAAATGTCCTGTCTCTTCACCTCCTCCATACACATACTCGGTGCAGTCCCTACTCCGTGATTAGAGTCTACCGTGCAAAGGGTTTTCACTTAGGTTTGAATTGTAGGATAGAAGAATGGAAAAACACAGAATGTGCAAAAGACTCCTTGATATGCCTTGTGTTTTAGGAAAAAGTGTCTCTTCATTTTATCCGGCTCTCTCACTGTAATATCTAACAGTGCTTATGGAATGTGTAACTTCACATCTTTACTCAGCTATATTGAAAACCACCGTGTTTCTCCCCCCAGAATCGTTGCTTCCGACTTTGGAATCACTCTCTTACTCTGAACACATTACTTAATCTTTGTTTTCTTCCTTCTTTCTTTCTCCGTTTCTTTCTTTTTAATTTGCCTGAAGGTGTGAAAACTGAGAAGGCAGCCCTCATGAGGGATGGTCACACCTCAATCCCTTCTCTGCCATTTCTCCCTCTTTTTGGGATTTTGGGCACACACGCCCAGTTTTTCAAGCTTCCAGGTCAGGGACCTCACCTAGCAATTGACCATGTGGGATCCAGCTGCCTTCACCACCACATCATGAACTGGCCCTAGATCTTTGTTTTCTCACACAATGGTATAAAGTAGGTCTATCTCAAGCTGGATTTAGGTAAGGTAATTTTTCTGCCAGGAAACTTGAAGGGCCCTTCCCTGAGATGAGACAAAATTTGTTAATTTGGAAGACAGAGGTCAGATCCCGGCTGCTTTTTTTTTTTTTTTTTTTTTTTTTGCCGTTAGAAAGCCAAAGCTGCGTTCATCCATAGGGGTTAGATGCTGCTTCTTTGAGCAGACATCATGGGTTTGATGTCTCAGATACTTTAAAAACATAATTTTCTTATTTCATTTTGTGTTCAGAGCACTCTCTTTGGAAGTTATGATTTTCTTTCTCATTTTATGGTTGAGGAAAGCAACCTCAGAGAATCAGCAGTTTCCCCAAAGTCAACTGGCAAATGAGGGAAAGACACCAAATTTGAACTTGGGCCTTTCTGACCTGAAAACTGTCTTGTTATCACAACACAACTGCCTCCCAGCTCAGGGTTGGCAGGAGGACCCCTGTCCCAGAGCAAAGCTAGCTTATTTTGCAGCCAGAACTTCATTAAAACCCAGCCACATTTTACACCCTGAGGTTTTCTGAGTGTGGAAGGGTGATGATTAAGTCAACTGATATGTGAAGAAAAGATTGATAAAAGCAGCTCCCATTTGCATTCCTTCAGAAGCAGGGGCTTTCCATTCTCCACGAATAAATAGGACCTCAGTTATTAAAACTGTCTCATGTTATCTCAGGAAACTAGAGGAAGTCAGGGAAGGTAATGGGCCATTTCATTCCTGAGAGGGATTTTGGGTGGAGAGTAGACTGAATTTTAAAAGATACACTACCCATAGCTGCTCCATGGTTGAACCAGCTAAAACCAAAACAACAGTAACTGAGATGGACCTAAAGGAGCTATTTGTAAATGAGAAAGGGATTAAAAATGCCTGTCAAAGCAGCAATTTGTGTTTTGTTGGCTGCCCTGCAGTATCCGCCCTACTTTATGAAGTCCGCATAGAAGTTAAGAGGAAAAAGAGGCTGTTAGGGCCAGCCAATGGTGTCATGGATCCCACATGGCCATCTGTGTTGTTTGAGTCCTGGACCTGGTGACTTGAAAAACATGCTGGATGCGTGTGTGTGTGTGTGTGTGTGTGTGTGTGCCTTAATTCCTGAGAGGCAAATGGAGAAGGAATTGCAGCATGGTCATCCTTTCAGGGGGTACTTTCTCATTTTCTCTCTCTTTAGCAAGCGCATGTGTCCTATGGCAAAACTTAAGAAAGAAAGAAAGAAGAAAGAGAAAGAAAAAAGAGAGACTTACCATCAGTCTTGAAAAAAAAAAGAACAATAGAGAACATATAAATTAAGCACTCTGCATTCTTGATGAGTCATTTTGGACAAGGGTTGGGGACAGAGCCGGCATAAAGGAGTGGTTGTGTTATGAAATCATATGGTTTCACAAAGCTACTTTTTAGTAAGA